TATATATATATATATTTCTTTATTTTAAAATCTAAACTTTAAATTCTAAACTCTAAAATTCTCAAATAAAGGATTGTTATTGTACCCTCAAAAGTTGAGGGATTTTGGTATTGTCTCTGTGTACCAATAAATAGATTCACATTATTTCTCCATTTTGAATCCCGAGATAGAAAAAGACAAATTATATATCCAATGTTGAAATGAATATCATGGATTCGAAGCCTTCCCCACCTCAATACGAATGCAACATTCTCTTCGCTTGAATCGCGATACAATAAGAGAGAGATTACCTCCGCTTAAATATTGTTAGAGAGAGAAAAAGAGAGATTATCCAATGTTGAAACGAACATCGTGGATTTGAAGTCTTTCCTGCCTCGATACGAATGAAACATTCTCTCCACTTGAGTCGTGATATAGTAAAAAGAGTGATTACTAGATATTGGAACAAACATCTTGGATGGGAGTGACGAATGTAAGAACGATGTCTTTCTTATTGTCTTTCTTTGCTTTATAATCATATTGAGCTCTCTTTTTCTCATCATCACTCCACTCACTCCAATATTTTTTTCTCTTCCCATCATTCTCCTCGGCCATAGGAATATAAGGTCCATTTTCAATTGTATCCCATATAGCAATGTTAATTGCTTCAATGAAAATCCTCATTCTAATTTTCTAATAGACATAATTTCACTAGTAGAAAATAAACATATTACGTCACCCCTTTTACGTCGGAAATATGAAAATCCAACGTAAAAAAATGCGGTGGCATTTTTGTAATTTTTGCGAACTTTTTTACGTCGTACCTGGTAGGGTCTGACGTAAAAAGTCCAATCTACATTGGAGGTATGTTTGTCCGACGTAGATTTGACATTTTACGTCGGACCCTACCAGGTCCGACGTAAAAAAAATGCAAATTTGAATGAGAGAGCGCGAGGCACACCGTGCGCATTCACTTTTCATCACTTTTCATTTTTTTCTCTATAAACCCTCTCCCTCTCCTTTGTTACTGAATCGTTTTTTTGTTTTTTGCAGAGGGATGAACTCTTTGTTACTCATTTGCACATTGTTGCTGCTCCTCAGGTATGAAACAAGGTTTCGTTAGCACTTTTCTACTTAGCATTGCTACTCTGGCTATCTATTTTATTCGATTTTTTGGTTGTTCTATTTGTATAGGTAGTGGGCGTTTTTTTGTTGTTCTACGAAGCAGAATGGCTTGTTCTACAAGCAGAACGGGCCGTTTTACCTGCGTTCTTATGTTTTTTTTTTTTTGTTTTTTTACTACTTTTTTACGTCATATTTCGTAATGTCTGACGTAAATTTACGTCGGGTTTGCAGGTCCGATGTAAAATTTACGTCTCCCGCTTCTACGTCGGTACGTTTTCTGATGTAAAAAGCCTAAAATATCCGACGTAGTACACCTCTTTTGTACTAGTGTTCTCTCCATTGAAAATAAGAAGTCTATGAATAGAAACACCCTCACCAGAAGGTAGGTTATTAATTATGAGGCATTTTTGAAATCTTAATTAACACTCAAGAACCTTGCTCTGATACCAATTGTTATAAAAGAATGGCTCAATCCAAGAGGGGGGTGAATTGGATTTAATGACACTTAAAAAATTTATCCGAGTTTAAGGATCTTAATTTCTTTAAAATTTTTCTAAATTAATTTCCAAATGAAGCATATTGAACCTTCTTGATATATGGGAATGACACCTATATGATTTCTTGATTAATACACTAATGAATCAATTTAAGAACAGATTAACATGCAGTGCTTATGTTCCAATTTAAACCGTATTACTCATACAAGCATATTAATCATAACTAGCCATTTTAACATTTAATTAAAAACTGTTCAATATAAAAGATAAGGATGAGAGAAGAATGCAAAGTATTTTATCCTGGTTCAGCCGCTTAACATGTGACTTACATCCAGTCCTCAATCATAACCTGATCAAGATTTGTTCCACTATCTCAATGAAGAAGTTTTACAAGCATACCACTCATGCCCATACTTCAACACACAAGATAGACCCATACTTGCCCCCAATAAAGTACTTCACGTAGAAACCCACGACAAGAATTCCTTACCACATGAGAAACCTACTCAAGATTTTTACCACAATACACAAAAAGATTTAAGGAATGAATTCACATGCAAACTGAACAAATCAGACTGTGAATTCTTGACCAATCTTAATTCCTTTTCCAAGAATGTAGTGATGATGATGATTTTTCTCAAAACATTTAACAAAGTATTTTATTTCTTGGTTTCACAAAGAAAACTCTCCAAGAAGATCACAAAGATCAAAAGTATACTATCTCTTTTCAATTTTTTTTTCTTTTTGTTTTCTTCAAGTTTCTGAATGTGAGAGCTCTTTTTATAAAGTTTTTCAGAGTCAGATAATCGAATATTTTTAAGGATAATCGATTATTTTGTTCTTCAAAATTTATAGAAATCACTCAAGAACAGAATAATCGATTATTTCACAAGATAATCGATTATTCTAGAGAGCACATTCTGGGATAATCGATTATTTCAAAAATAATCGATTATTACAGCAAGGTTTCTCAATCTATTGAAAAACAAAGCAGAAATAGTCGATTATAGTTAGTAATAATCAATTATTTTGAGTTAGTTCCCAAAATTCGATTTCACACATTCAGAACCTTTCCAAGTTACTTTCAATCATAATCATACTCATTCTTAGACAATTAGAATTAAGACTTAACTCATGCACAAAGCACAAATATGCATAGAACATAAAATTGACCAACAAAGCAACTCAACACATAAGAACACATAAACTACTCCTATTACATTTGGTATTCATTCATGGTCTTCATATCTTCTCTTTTGTTCATTCATGACCTTTGTTATCATCAAAACCTTCAGAACTTGATTCACCATCCATGAATCTCAACAATCTCCCTCTTTTTTACGATGACAAACTCTAACATGTTTTTCTCAATTAAGAAGATCACCATGACTCATGACAGTAGTTTAAATTGCTTGCTTTGTTTTATCATAATAACTATGCTTAACTATGCTTAGTCAGACTTGCAAAACAAATTTAACCTTTCTCCCCCTTTGGACATCATTAAAAACATACAATATAACCAAATAATAACCAATATGTCCAAGTAGAGAAATAAAATTGTAGATTCAAGAATTGTATCTCAAGACAAACAATTACACAAGTTAGTCCAACATTTCAAATTATCACTCTCAAGCTATGATTAATATGATCAAAATTCCAAATGCACCAACAAATATATCACATATCAATCATATCAACTACATCATTTTAAGAATTACAAATATGCATCAAAGCTCAAATTACTTAATCATAAAGATTAACATGATACTAAATCATCCAAATATCACATTTTAAAATAACAAAATTTGCAATCAAACTTGTAAACAGAGTTAAATAGTTCCAGAATTAAATTTGTTCAAATTACAACCAAACCAAAATTAAACCAAATGAAATTTTTCCAGAATTAAAACCATTACAACTAAAATGAAACTTATTGAAACTTAGAACTAGGAATTTAAAAATCGAATTGAAACTAAAAACTCCTAAACAACAGAACAAAAGCCTAATTATTCACTCCGAGTCATCTTGAATTCCCAGTTGGGCCTTGATTCTTGCAATTTCATGATCTAAATTATCAAACCTATCAAGAATCCCAGAGTATTGTGACTCATGCTTCCTACTCATCTCCATGACAACCTCAATTTTATTAATTGTAATTTGCTCAAATGGAGAAAATGCCTTAGGCTCCAGTTCTGGTTCTTGTTCCACTTGTGGTGGTTGTTCCTCATCATGAGATGGAACACCATCATCATCAGTCGCCAGTTCAGGTGTAGGTGGAACATCACCCTTGAAAATCCATTTGTCTTCCTGCTTCAACATCCCCATATGATGTAGAGAATATTTCTCAATCTTATTTGAAGTATGGAGAATTATCTTTTTCTCCCCCTATAGACCTACCCCTGTATTCTCAATAACTATAGACAGTAATAATGCATAAGGAATAGGACCATCTTCCTTTCTCCTAGCCTTCCAAATGCAGTTATTAACAATAGAGACCTAATCAATCTTTTCCTTCTTTTTAATCATATACATTAGCAAAATATCATCTCTAGACATTTTAGCATGATTATGCAATCTTGGCTTAAACATCCAAGTAATTATAAAAGAAATTAACCTAGAATTTTTCTTCATTCCACCATCTAAAAACTTACTATAATTGGTGGTCTCCGAGTTCCTTTGAAAGTCTCTAAATGTGGTCAACTCTTTAAATCCGCCAAAATTGAAAGGTTGGGGCTTTGTGTGTCCGGTTCCAATCAACTCGGCAACATCCTTCAAGGTTGGCCCGTCTAGCTTTATACGTTTTCCTTTAACCACCGAATGAGTAACTCCTTCATGGCTAGAAGAAAAATAGAGAAATAGTCAAA